TCACGGAGAATGAGATGAGCGGGTGATATAGCAAGCATGTGAGAGAAAAGAAATTAATACAAAATGCTGGTAGCAGAAATCTCAAGGAAGAAGACTACTACAAAGTCCTAGGCGAAGATGGGAAGATAATGTAACGGATTTGATCAACGCGTTGCTGAGCAACAGTTCGGTAAAAAACCCCGCAAAAACAGAAAAGAAACTGTTTTCTATGAGGTCCGAGCTGAAGAAAAGCACGCTGCCAGGCAACGCAGCGATAAACATTCATCCACAAAAATGGGAAACGGTATTTTCGGTGGGGTCCGTGCAAAGGAGATCTTAAAAACAAACTGCGCCAAGATTCAGTTCTGAGTTCTGTGCGTGTTATAATTAGAGTAATCTCGAAAGTCTTTTTGTAGTTGCAACTACTGAAGATCCAATAAACCGATACACCAAACCAAACCCGCGTCTTAGTCATTGTCACACGTGACAATAATATTAAAATTGGTCTTGTGGAAATAGGATGACAGAGCATCAGGATAGTGATCAGCGGTGGGTACTTGTGAATACTGCAGTGAACCTTCGGACTCCATAAAATTCGGGGAATTTCGTGACTACCTGAGCAACTATTAGCTTTTCAAGGACTATGTTACATCCACTCAGTAAAAGAATTTCATGTAGGCTATAAATTCACTTGCGATAGCAGGAAATAAAAATAAATTAAAATTTGACATCTTACTAAAACATGTGGATATTGACTCTTATATGCTTCATGAAAGATGATTGCCCTTAAGAATTACATATTTAGAGCAGGCGTCTCATGAGAACACTAATTCCCAGGCCCAAATCAGCTCGCGATGGTCAGTTTATTGGTTGCTTAAAAAGTGATTATTAGGGGTTTTTTACAAAATAAGAAACGAAGGCCTTATGTGGAAGTCATGTGTCTGTCTGTCTACGACCCACTACAAGAGCCTATACAATGTTGGACAGTCCCTTTTTTAATTCTATAAGGGGGACTACCACTGAAAGTAGACCTAAAATTTGGATTTCTACGTTTATCGACTGATAATAATGTCTTCTTTACTTATGCACATAAGTGTGTTTCTTTCGGGTACGGCATATATGGACATCTGATTCCCTAAACGGATTGCAAGTAAGGCTAATAAACTACAAAGAACGCAGTCTGGACTTCTGTATACTATATTATGAAGCACAATCTTTCAAATATTGTTTCGCAGGGGAGGAGAAGAGAATAGTTATGGCCTAGCATGTAAAAGAAAGTGAAGAGAGAATTGTTTCATTTTTTTTTTATTTGTTTCATTTTTGGTCCGTTACACTATCAATCACAAAGTCAATAGAAAGTCCGTCTAGTGTAACAACACACAGCACATTGGAAACATCTAACCATAAGCCATACAACCTCAAGCTGACATCTCCCATCTTCGGGATGAATTAACGAGGAGGAGCTTAACATTTTACATCAAATGTTTTAAATTTTTAAATATTTTAACATTGGCGTTTTAACTTGAGGGCAGTTTCGGATGGAATGTGAGAATTGATAGTGCATTCAACAATCCTAGCAAGTGTTGTGCTTTTACACGTCGACATATTGTAGCAGCGTCCACGCAGCAAACATAACTGTGTACATCTTAAACAACGACAGTGTTTTCATGATTGTACTATGTGCCTCTGATGATGGTTGTATTAAACCGAAACATGTAAGGCAGAAGTGATAAAGAAGTGACCTACAAATTGTTACACTAGACGGACTTTCTATTGACTTTGTGAAGAGAGAACTATTATGTACGTAGGCAAGTCAATACGTAAGTTACAAATATATACAGAACTTAAACAAATAAGAGTACTGATTTGAATAATGCTTTTATTTCTCAACATAATCTCCCTGTACATTGAGGCACTTGTCCCATCGTTTAACAAGCCCCTGAAAACCAGCAGCATAAAATTCTTTAGGCTGCTGTCGGAACCAGGCGGTGACTGGGATCAGCTCAAGGACAAACCGTAAATGCCGACTCCTAATGTAACAACCTCAGGAAACTTCGTAAGGCCATTTAACGGAAGCGACCGGGACTCCCCATCAAAGGCGTGTTGCTCTTGCATGACAACGCGCGTCCCCATACTGCCAACGACAAAAATGAGACGCTGCGAAATTTCAAGTGGGAACTCCTCGAGCATCCTCCGTATAGCCCCGACCTTGCTCCAAGCGACTTCCATTTGTTCGGCCCTCTTAAACATCATCTTTCGGCTGAACATTTTCCCGAAGATGAAGCTGTAGAAAGGGAACTCACCGCCTGGTTCCGACAGCAGCCCAAAGAATTTTATGCTGCAGGTTTTCAGGGCCTTGTGAAACAATGGGACAAGTGCCTCAATGTACAGGGAGATTATGTTGAGGAATAAAAGCATTTTTCAAATCAATACTCTTATTTGTTTAAGTTCTATATCCATTTGTAACTTACCGTATTTACGCATGTATAGGCCGCACATTTTTTACCAAAAATTCAAGAGGAAAACTGGGGTGCGGCTTATATTCGAAATATTCGAAATCACACTTCATTTAAAAAAATTAACGTTGCCAAATTTCGGAATAATTTCTACTCCTGAAATAATATTCCAAGAAAATTATTTTTTCTATAATTTCTGTCTGAAAATTGTGCTGCGGCCTATACACGCACGCGGCCTATACATGCGTAAATATGGTACTTATTGACTTACCCTCGTATTTGGAACTGTTGAAGTTAAACAGGAACCAGCTACGATGGGTGGTAGGACTACTTACAGGACACTGTCACTTCAAAGGACACCTGTTCAAACTGGGACTAAGTGATAGACCCACTTGTGAGAGGTGTCAAGAAGAAAATGAAACAGCCACACATATCCTGCGTGAATGTGAGGCCTTAGCTTATTTAAGACTACGTCACTTGGGTCAATACTTTATGGAACCAAGTGACTATTTCGACGTCCCCACGTATAAAATCCTACGCTTCATTCGAAGCGCGGTATTGCTGAGGGGATAATCGAAAAGGGGAAGCACAATAGACCACTGTAGGTCGCGGTGCAAGGGCCGAGACGGCCTACCCCTCATAAATTCATTCATTCATACCCTCGTATTTCACGGCCTTTGATGGAGATTGAGTGAGAATCTCGAATCGGGAATAACGCGACCTGCGCGCAAAGATGGTCATTCATTTCCTTGTAATGCCGAAATTAAGAATATGGCGAGCTTAATTCCACTCCCCATGTAATACCTGCAATGATGATTACTTTACTGTGTTAAAAAAAAGACGTACTAACATGCTGACTACCTGCTATGCTGATTAACAGATTTCTGCACTGCTCTAACGACAAGCGCGAAACGTTTGTCACCACCCAAGCAGTAAGTCTTCCATTAAAAAATTTTCCCTTTTTTATTTTCTAAATTTGCATGCATATAGGAACATGAGAGGTGATGGTGTTAAGGAGAAACCTTGGAAAGACAAGAAACTGTAGAGAAGGGTCACCACGATACCGATGAGTAACTACGAACAAAGCGATGGACGTGGAACAAGATTGTAAAAAGTTTGCAATATCCACTAAACAGACAAGTTTCTCACGAATTATAAATGACATGCTACCACCCCATTCTCTTCAAATTACTTACAAGAAAAGAAAATACAGCTGATGTCAGACCGGGAAGTCATTTTCTGTAATTCCGAAGTTCCTTATTACAGGGACTAGAGATTTTTCTCCGCTCCACAGAGTCCAGACCGCCCCTGCTGCTATCAGGCCTCCTATACAATTGATACCGGGTGCTTTCACAGGGGGTAAAGCGGCCGAGGCGTTAAGCTGACCACTCACCTGCATCCAGTGCTGAGGTCAACAACAGTGGAACTATACCTCCAGCCCCCATTTGTCTTCATGGGGTGGTGCTTAATTAATTAAGCATATGAACACCTTTACACTTAACTTCAGCCCTCCTTTATCTCTGTGTACTCTGAAACCTTAACTTTTAAATACTACATCTGAAAAACAAAGTAGCCCAATTAAATTCACTGACTTTCCCCATTATGTGATTATAACATCATTATTTTGATTTCTTATGTTTCGTCCTGTGCCATACCTTTTTTTCTTTGTATAATTAAACCCCCAGGGAGCCGGGATAGCGTAGTCGGTATATCAACTGGCTATGGGCTGGAGTTCGAGTCTCGGCAGGGTAAAGAATTTTCTCTTCTTGACGTCGTCCAGACCGACGCTGGGGTCCACCCAGCCTCCTATCTAAGGGGTTCCAGGGGCTCTTTCCAGGAGGTAAAGCGACCGGGGAGTGAAGCTGACCACTCACCTCCAACTAGTGCCGAGGTCAAGAAATTGTGATCTATACATTCACTCCCCTATTCGCCTTCATGATGTAGTGCTTCAGTAGTTAAGCACAGGGTCAACCTTACCATTTTATCTCATAATTAAACCTCCACCAAACCGAAAAATGATCCACACAAATGTTACAAACTAAAATGGAAAATATATTCTGATCTTGGAAGTACTTCTGATAGTATTGTGTGACTCCGTTCAGTCCGATAGAAGTTGACCTGACTAGACGGGGTCACATCCTAAACGATAGTACTCTTTATATTCACCAAAACATTTTCTGAGAAATTTCTACAGATATCTCTGCATAGTTAAAGAAGTCCGCCAGAACACTCTCACCGTGCATCTTCCAATTCGTTTCGAACTGCTGCCAGAATGTAAAATACATCTTCTTATATGCTGGATACCCGGCTTCGATTCCCTCTTCTAGTAGGAAGCAGCGGTTAAAAATTCCTCAGTGAGATTTCCGTTACAAGGAAGAATGATCTGGAGTATAAAATAAAAAAAAAAAAAGTTCTGACTTCTATGCAAGACATAAACCACTCGCCTTCTAATGACAGTCACTCTTGTGCGGAAATAAGAACATAAAAATTACAGGATAGAGGTTTAGGCAACACTGTTTTCCACAAGAATAGCTTCAGAACTGGGGCAAACACCATAGTGCCTACCTGATTTTCCTGGTTACGCACAGCGAAGAAGCCAACTACTCGAACAACTTCATGAAGTAACTCCTTCTCCTTATCATAGGAACAGTACCATAGCAGATAGCTGGCGATGTGGCGGAACTGGAGCGAGATGCCTTCAGCCCCAAGCACACTCTGCAACCAGTACAGCACTACAATTTCTACGTAGCAAACAACATGCGTTATACACTTTCTTTGAATTTACTGTATAAAGTGAATGCACAGTGGCAAGCTCATGTTCTTTTGTTATGTTTTCGCAACAGAAATACGTACACGAAAAGAACTGAATTCGAGTTGGTGGTGATTGTCTTAGTGAAGGTCAACATACAATGTCGTGAGATTTCTAGATCTCACAGAGGTCACCAATAGGAATATAGGGCGTCACACTCTACAATATGGTACTTCTTAAGGCTAAATGTTGTTTCCAGAATTTAATTTCAGTATTCACGAGATTATCATTCTCAAAATCGGCTCATAATATAGAACAGACTTCACTACATTCTCCGCCTTTTATGAACTTTCGATATATAGCAGTGCATTCTGTATTTTAAGAAATATAAGGAATAACATTATTTACTCTTATCTAACTTCTATTGTCTTACTTACTTACTTACTCATGGAGCTGAGCCCTTCTGGATGAGCCGCCAATTCTGCAGCTACTCAAGAACTTCCCAGCATTTTATGGAACCCGAAGGTTCATTACCGTGTTCACAAGAGCCCTCCACTGGTCCCTATCCTGAGCCAGACCTATCCAATCCATACCATCCCATCCTATCTCTCTAAGATCCATTCTAATATTGTCTACCCACCTACGCCTTGGTCTTCCCTGTGGTCTCTTTCCTTCTAGCTTTCCCACCAATATCCTATATGCATTCCTCATCTCCCCCATTCGTGCTATATGACATGCCCACCTCATAACTTCTATTGTCAGAATGATTAATTTCAATGTCGATGAGATGGGTAAAGCTTACAGGGAATACTGAGGAAGTGCAAAGCCTTATGGACGACTGAACTGGGCAAAGAGGATTAAGAGGCTGTGAAGTTTAGAACCGGACTTTAATAGCTATGAGCAGGACGTCCCAGAGGCTATCGAGAACTGTGGAACTTCGAACTACATGAGATCAACTAATTTCTTTATAACCCGAAGAACTCTAAGCTACTTAAGCAAGAATCAGTGTCTAGAGTTAATATGAGTATGCAACGTAAACAACAAAGTTGTCCCTGTGTTTAATTAATATCTAATTTTAATATATTATTATTAATAGATAATAACCTATATTACCAGACTTTTCGGGTATATTGTCAGGTTACATTTAACAAGGTGAATTCGCTATTAAAAACAAAACCAAACTGTAAGATATGGCTGCATACTAAACTAATTCAATTCAAGAACTTAAGACTGATATTCTTACGCCTCGTCTGATACTGACCTAGAAAAGGTCAAAACATGTAGCGCCACATCTGTGTATAATATAACAAAATCCGTGGTTTTAGTCCGCAAGCAAACTATACCGACCAAGCGACCGCCGTTTGTCGGTGAAATCAGTGCCAACTTTAGCGGATAGAGGCTGTCGTGTGGTCAGCGCAACGAATCCCCACAGCCGTTAACTTCGATTTTCTATACCGGAGCCGCTATTTCCTTGATATAGCTCCGTAATTATCCTCACGAGGCCGAGCGGACCCCGTTCCAGACCCACTACTTCTCTGAAAATCTGGTAGCGCTGCGAATCGAACTCGGGACCTCTGGATCTCTAGCCAGGAACTCTGACCACCAGACCACAGAGGCGGTCCTCTGTATATAATACAGTATAATAAAGAAACGTCGATACTTATCTACGTAGATATTACTGTTACGTAGACGGCCCCATTTACGCTATTGTGAACTTCCTGTTATAACAGAATATCGTTCAGAAACACGCCTTTCTCTGTTCAGAGTTCGTACCTGCAAACTTCCACCGTATTGAATTGTTAACAGGCTGGTTCTATGGTGTAGCAAAGGGGTCTGCTAACAGAGAGCCTTTCAAAATGCATGAAAATTTACATAAACCATGTCATGTGTAAACATGGTATTTCTATACAATTTTTTTGTTAAAATGCGAAAATACGTATTAATGTCCGATGATTTTAAAAATAGAGTACACCCCACTGTATGGTGGGCCCGATGTTTAGTTTGCCGGGGTTACACACGCATATTAAATGGAATCAACGCATCTTCTGTACAAACACAAGGATATTTGCTGGTGCAGCACAGAACTGGACAGATTCATTACGAGAGCCACTCTCGCGGGAGTGATGACAGCTCGAAGGTTTGCTCATGGATCTGTTATGATCAAACTGGTTGGCGTATGTACACACGAGAGAACTGTATGATTAACTACTCATTGTGGTTTCATAATGTTGGTTAACTCATCTCTGTGTGTGAGTACAGTCAATCAATCACCCTCACCCTAACTCCAATACTTCAAGCCTTCATTACCGCGGCAACTTTCTGTTACAAAACGCCATCTTAAAACTTGTTTATTCAGCCTGGTTCGAATTCAATAATTGGGTTTCACTGGTCTGTAAGATATTTAACGATGTTGAATCAACTGCAGAAGTATTTTAACTTCTTGGGCTGGGGTGAGACTGAGTCTACTTGGTACGTCAGCCACTATCTGGCCTATTGTACCAGTCCTATGTGACAGATGATGAATGTGGAGCAGTCGGTGGTATAAGAATTGGCAGGGGAAACCGAAGCACTCGGAGAAAACCTACCCCAATGCCACTTTGTTCACCACAAATCCCACATGATATGACTTGGGCTCGAACCCGGGCCGCCGCGGTGGGAAGCCGGCGACTAACAGCCTGAGGTATGGCACGGCCAACCGCAGAAGTTACTCACGTCCAATAAAATGAACCGGAAATGACTCGGGTAATAATCAGATGTTGGCAATGAGATACTGCACAGTTCGTTTTGCTACAGCACTAGTTCGTCCGGATTCTCGTACGCTCATCGCGTGGTGCCAATATTTCGGCCTTTGTCCGTAACACAAACGTAGCTGCCAAATAAACTGAAGATGCAGCAGAACCAGAGTCCCGGCGCTTACAGTATCGCGTCGTCTGAAGCCTTATTAAAGAGCCCCGTGTGTACGTACGTAGAGATCTTCCTTCAGCTTCCTGACACAAATACAAACATCAGTATTACAGAAGTACAGTTCGGTATGGGTATCTTGTCACTAGGAGCGCGACTTTATACATACGTACTTTGGTCTGCTGACAACTTCTGGATCACTGTTCCTTTTTTGTGTGTTATTTTACGATTTTTTAGTATCAAAGTCTATACAGCGTAGAAAGGTAGGACGATGAACGACGAGCTGGAAAGGATTTGGTTCTAAGCCGTGATGGCCCAATTAAGACAAAACCTGGCATATGGCTGGAGGGACTGAGGAATCCCACGAAACCCTTCAGTCGGACAGCTGGTGTCCCGCCTTAATTCGAAAGGAGCACTTCCGCAATACACGTCCAGGGCGCTATGGCTAGACCAGAATATTCGGTTTGATGGCCATGCCATGTCTGAGGCGGTGAGTCGCCGGATGCACAGCGCGGCAGCCCGAAATCCATCCTTGTTGTGGTCATGATCTTTGTTGTGGACAAAGTGGCACTGGGGCAGGTTTTCGCTGCGTACTTCAGTTTCCCCTACCAATTCTCATTCCACCAACTGCTTCATATTCATTTATCGTCCTACCACTAACACTATAATTATATTCTATAGCAGGCATGTCCAACGCGTCGATCGCGGGACGATTTTTCGTCGATTTCATAGGCCTATAAGGAAATTATACGTGAAAAGCATGTAAATTCACTTGTAATATAATATGATTATATTCAGATTTTGAAGGGAAAATACGTGTTAGTCATTCATATTTTTCTGTTCTTAACGAACAAGGTAAGTCCATACTTTCAATATATGCTGCTTTTACAAGAATCATGTGTCGTGTTATTTTTACCAATATTTTTGCTTAAAGCGAGGTACGACGATAGGAAGGGGTGGTAGATCACTGGCAGTTTTGACACTAAAAATTCGATCACATCCTGTTTGAAGCTGGACATGCCTGGGCTATAGCAACGTTGAACAACAAACTCGAACGGTTCCGTTCGAAGCACTACAACCGGAAATATCTGCAGAGCGACACGCAAACAACACAAGTATTTGGAGTACCGGACGAGTTAAAACCTACTGGGCCTAAACTTCCGCAACCCTAAAATAAGCCACGGTAAGAGAATTGGCGCCGGTCACGGTAGCCGAGCGGTCTAAGGCGTGCACGCTCTTCGCTCGCTCGGAAGCCGATGATCGTGGGTTCGAATCCCACTCAGGGCACGGATGTTTGTGGTCGTTGTTCTGTGTCTGTGTACAGGTAGAGGCCTTGCGACGAGCTGATCACCCGCCCAAGGAGTCCTACCGAATGTCTAAGATCTAGAAAAACCACAGTGAACGGAGAAGTTGATGGAGGTAGGCCTAGGCCCACTGGGGCTGTACTGCCAAGGGGGGGGGGAGAGAATTGGCTCTTAAAGCCTGGGAATAAGTATAAAAATGTCACAAACCGCTACTACGTGACTCTTTCCGATTTCCCCTTTAACCGGTTTGGACCACTAACGGAAGCCTTTGACTGAATGATTGATACGCCGTTTTCAGGCAGGTAACTTGGACGTAAATCGAAGACCGCCGGTGCATACAAGCAGCTAGACAGAAGCCCGGTCCAGAGAGACGAATAACTTAGTTACGTGAACACAATCTGATAATATAATCTATGTCCCAGCACGATATCTATCCATTCCATCCGTCTGTAATTAATGACAGGTGACGCAAATAAGCAACAGACAGCAAACATCTTATATACGGCTTGTTCCGTCCAGAAGGCCTCCAGAACTATGTATAAAGGNTTGAGCCGCAAAGCGGTTAAACAGCGCGCGGATAATCGAGAGTCTACAATAAGTATAAAAATGTCACAAACCGCTACTACGTGACTCTTTCCGATTTCCCCTTTAACCGGTTTGGACCACTAACGGAAGCCTTTGACTGAATGATTGATACGCCGTTTTCAGGCAGGTAACTTGGACGTAAATCGAAGACCGCCGGTGCATACAAGCAGCTAGAC